TTGATGTGTGCCTGTGCGTGCATCAGCGCGTGCGTGCAGGCACGCGTGTGTCTGTGTACGCGCGTGTGTGTGTGTGTGTAACTCTGGTGACTGTGCGAGCAACACACTAGACGGCGCTCCTGCGATGTAGTCTCCTGAAGTGCATCATCTTCTTGCGACTCCTGACAAGGCGTGAAATCAATGACAGCCCCAGCCCCTTCAAGCAATCGACCTACAAGCTCGCCACAGTACAAGGCATCACAACAGCACGGACACATCAGCCATGCTAGCCCAAATAGGCAGCTAGCTACATGCTCACCCATCGACCGACCGTCCACCAGGTTCGCCTTCTGTGCTATGCCAGCAGCGGGTGCTGCTCGGATTTTCGGCAACCACTATATGTACACGACACCAGCATCAACTGTGCGCCACGACAGTCTGCTGCGCGACAGCGACTTCCAACAGCTCTCCTTCTCTGAACCGGTCAAGGGCGCCCTGAGAAGTGGCCCTGCCTTCAAACGATGGAGAGTTTGGATTCTCACACTCCAGACATGGCAGCAGGGCTTGCTTCATTATCGGAAAACCTTTGCCTGCACTCGGGGCCGCATCCGACTAACCCTATAAATAGCAAGCTCCGAATGAGAAATACACTCTCGTGATATCATCCGAACCCTCTACGTAAGCATGCATGCTGGAAAGTACGTACCAATGTATGTATGTGCGAAGGCGAGTATGTCGATATGTAAACATGTGATAGGCAAGCAGGCAGGCAGCTAGCTAGCTGGGAAGCTAGCTAGCGCATGTGTGTGTGTGTTCATGTATGAGGCATCGCTACATCTGGGTAGGTACAGACATACATATATTATCTACATAATCAATGATAACCGTGCATACATACATTGCAACAATGGGTCCCCAAATGCAAAACTCGATCATACGGAAAACAAGGCTAAACCGCTAACACTGATTCGGACGGATTCAAGCCCTCGAACAACTTGAGGGATTGACTGTGCGACATGCGATGGCCTTCAAGGAACCGGGACGAGGCAAGCGGGCAAAGGAGACCAAAGGAGAATGAACAAGTAATGTTCGAATGGTTGAACACTAAGAACTAACCAGGTCAAAGGTCAGCAGGGCCTGGCTACAGACCTATTGAAGACAAGCGTGTAATGTTGGGCTCGTAATTTGACCAGATGCCCACCTGGGTCACCGGTGTGAGCTCTGCAGCCGGCTCTGATGCCTTCATGACTGTTCCCTGAAGCCAAAGCCATGATTCCTGAAAACCCCAGAGCATCAACCTCTATCATCTATTCAACTTTTCCACAGATGCTAACAAGACGGGACTAGACCGATCCCCATGCTCATGCTGAGCCGGGGGAGCATGCCTACCTACAGCATTGCATGATTGCATGTGCTTCTGTCCCCTCTTTGAAACTCTTTGGCTGCATACTTGCCTCGTCCGCACCTGGCCATCTGGCAACAGAGCTCCCGCAGGATTCCACCTCAACCAAGGGTCGGCTCTGGCTCAACAGGGTTCCACATTCAATGCACTTCGTGAGGACGGACGAAGCTTGAAACTAGTTCTGGGCGCATGAAGTTCGGTGCAGCTTTGGCAATAGATTACGACGAGCTTCAGACCTTTACACACGAGGGTCCGAGGCTGTCAAAAACTGCGGCTCCTGAACAGTCTGACATCGCCCACTAAGGATGTAGAGTTGAGGCGAGCCTTTCAGTACAAGAGAGTCTTTGCCGACGCTGCAAACTAGCAGGACTGAATCGCGTGCAAAATCAGTGTTGTCCGCCTTTCGCTGTGACGACTCGCACCACAGATAGAAGCTGCATGATGTGAGAGGTCTGCAAACAAGCATGTGGCTGTCATCTCCAACTCTAATAGCTTACACCCCCCATACATGTGGCACACTGCGCCTACTGCACGTTAAGATGCCCCCGAGAGCCGCACTTCTTCCAACTGCAGCTCCTCCTGTTCGTCGTTGGTTTGTTGATCTCTTTCTTGTGCAGCGGGGCTTCAAGCCCACTTGGTTTTTATGATAAGTTGCGTATGAACTTCCTTCGATTAGCACACCATAAACCAAAGGCAAGCCTGACCACCTGTGCCATCTACAAGAAGGGCCGTTCATTAAAATTACATCATATTACATCATTGTGTATTAACCACCCGAGAAGTCCACTATCCCAAGCCTCGCAAGAAGCTCTTAAAACCGTCGTCTGCGGGTAAAACCCAACAAGGTGTGAGCGACGTGTGGCGACGATATTTACAGTAAATGAGCCATGGCCTTGTCGTAAAGGATCTGTGGTGAAAGCACTACTGTAAATGCCTCGTCAGCTTGCAGCATGCTGGCAACCAGCTAAAAAGTAGTAATGGCTATAGTGGCTAAGTAGTGGCAATAGGAACTTGGATGTTTCGGGGCCCGCCTGTGAATTGCGAATCTGTGTCAAAAGGCTGCAGCGTGTACCACCAACGGTCAGAAACGACGGTAAGCGCAAGCGACGCTATCCAAAACCTTCCATGGGCTGGTGCCTCACTGCCTCGGAAGACAGGCGGCAAGCTGCTCTGCTCCTGCTAGACACGCCCTCCGGCGTGTAACCGACCGAGATATGGGAGCGGTTCTCGGCTGCAACTTATCTTTAGCGGTTCGACGGCTTTTGCGCCGTGCAGCCGTCGACAAATATGTTGGGGCAGGTGAATCTAGGGAATGCCAAAGTACAAAAAATATCCTACTTCTGGCTGCTGGTTCCTTTCTCTGTCGCTTCTGGGGTCGCCGTACACCCGACGTCTCTGTCAGTACGATCTCACTGCCGTCATGTATCAGAAAGTCCGGCCCTCCTCATTGTGAAGGAGTTCGCTCGCTTGTAAACATGCGCTCTATACATCTCCCGGTAGAACACACTTGGACAAGTTGCATGCCCTTCCATAAATTATTTGACCGATTATTGCATTGCAAAACAGCGTGCTGCTGAGGATGCCGGCGGATCCCCATTCCACAGTTGCAGATTGCTAGCAATCTAAAACAGTGTGCTGCTGTGCTGCACCTATCAAGCCTGCACAACTTCTCTTAACGAAAGGATCCGCGTGCGAGAACCCGTCCTCGCCGGGCTGAGCAGCTATCCGGGGCGGAGCCTTCCGAAAGATGGAAGCACTGTGACGTTGGCCAGAGCCCAGGCTGTGCATAGGCTCGGAGATCAGGGTGGACATTAGGCTCCCCTCAGTGGAGCATGAACTCTTCGTGCATTGCAACACAAGCTTGGGGAATGTGTGGGATATGGGAATTTGGGCAGGCAGCACAGTCTCAAGGGCTTCGGGCTGACTGCTCGGATGTAGTGGGCCAGAGATGTTCCTGATCGGGGGTGTTGCGGACGCGGATAGAGGTCATCCGGCATCGATCGAGTTCTGTATCAGCAACGGGGCCTCCGAGAAAGGAAAGTCGAAGCGATTAGACACGGCATGCAGCAGTATTTTTCACCCCCTTACTCTGCCAAGAATGCTCTCTACAGTGTTGGTTGCAGAGTGTTTCGTCTAATGGTGTGTGCAACCACCAGGACATGGCAATTGCAAGCGGAGAGCCAATTGGCTTGCCAGCATGGTACGCTGAAGGTTGCGGGTGCCCTAAATTCCACGCTTGACCACGACCAAACCCAAGGAATCCTTCTGAAACGGCCTCGAAGTGGTGCATGTCCAGGAAAGATGGCTTTGGGGGCATTGCTCGAGCCAACTGTGAGAGGCGTCAGCGGTTAGCGCTTTACTGGTTCGGGGATCGGGGGGCGTCTGGGAGTCTCCGAGACATCTGGGTTTCCAGGCTTTCGGATTTCAGGGCAGTCGAGGAAGTAAGGTTCGCTGGAAAAGAGAACGAAGAGTTCGGGTCGTTACTGGCTCTAAAGCACGCCCTCCATGTCCGACCACCAGGCGACACTTCTGGCGTTTTGCTTGTTGACTCAGCTGCTTGGCACCCGCTTCAGTATGTAATTTTCCAGCTATCCCCACCGCTGGCGGGCAAAGTGTTGTGATGCTGGCCAGTCCTCGCAGCTGCACTCATCCCGGGTCCTTGTCGATAGCTTCACTACTGGCCGCCGTGTTTGTGGCGCTGTTTGAGGACCCACCGCTGTCTGGCCTGTGCCTGGCCTCTCCGCTTGGCGTCTGTGCAGGCATTGGTGAGTTCTGCTTGCATGGAGTGACCAGTCAGGGACCTTGAACTGTTGCAGGAAGGAAGTATTTCGGCCCGCTTTTGCATCCGCACGGCTCCGCGTCATTGCGAACAAGCTTGGCACCCTACTCTACAACTTCCAAGACCTGGACCAAAGCGAGGCCCACACGAATGCGCTGCAAACCTCCATTCCCCAAGCTGCAAGGCCCCCAAAGCCTTAGAGAACATCCCCCGCTAAGCCTTTTCAGAAGCAGCTCGATCCGGCCGTGACCGAGGCCTTGGGCCCGCGGCGTTGAAGGCTCAGAACGGGAGGAATATTTCGGCGAGAGTGAGGAACACCAGCAACAGTAGTTAGATTGATGCTTAAGGGCGACTACAACGAAATAACGACAATGACTGCACTGCACTTAGCGATGCAGGCATGGCCGGTGTGGGGTTTGTGGTAGCTGGACTCTGGGGTATGTCTGCACTCGTGACACAAGCCTAAGCGTCGTTAGTCTTAGTCAAACTTCAGTCGAACTGATGCGAGAAGCTATGGACTTCATGGGGAGCAACAGTAGCTGCTTTCCATAGATCAGAATATTGCCACCAGCAGCCATTTTGATGCCAACAGCGATAAAGACGATGGCGATGGCACCATCAAGCACTGCTGCATGCCACATTCCCTGCAACAAAAACAGCACGCTTCTTCTTCCGGTCTGCGCTTGCGTGCGAGGCTGTGAAACAGTAAGTACCATGCACTCTGCAGGCTTGTGGTAGGGATCTGTAGGCGCGAAGCTCAACATGAAACAAAGAACCACTGTCCCAAGCCGACCGTTCAGGCAAAAGTATGCAAATCTGCCCTTCGGTACAGAAAGTGCCTCACATGACAGCACAATCTTGGTTCACCTCCTTCACTAGAGCACTCCATCCAGTTTCAAGGTCCTGAGACAGCACGGAGAAAACGTCTTTGTTCTGCTGGAGCTGCTGTTGACCAGAACTAACCGCATCCTGTCACATATTTCTCCTGAAACTTGATCTAGCAAAGAGGCAAATTCCGGCTTTCGCATGGCGTCGTATTCCCAATCGATCTGCACCTGGAACTACAGCGGAACAAACCTGGTAAACATCAGATTTCGCGGATTGGCAACCGGTTGTACATTTGTATACGATGCTAAGTCACTACCTCCCCTTGTGTTGCGAATCAACAAGCTTGGTGCTGTGAGTGTCCTATCATGTCGGACTCACACGAACCTCATGCATTGGCGCCACAAAAGCAGTATGTCTGCAACGCACGGCATCCTTGGGCGATGACCGGCTGATCTTTGTCTAAACCATCGGGCTGCATCAAACCAACCAGGGAAAGTCGCGATGCACCAGGCAAAGCTCCTTGGCTGAACCCTTGCAAGGCTTGGTACCGGGAGCAATGGCGAGGATTCTCGCCACGACGACGATATGATTCGACGAAAAAATTCGCTAGAACACTCGTAGAGGCAGTCAGCGTAGCAGTAGTAGTGGTAGTAGTAGCAGTACATAGGCAGCAACAGCAGCAGTGGCGGCGGCAGTTGTGGCAGCAACGAAAACTGTAGCGGTAGTCGTAGTAATCTTCGTCGTAGCAGTAGCAGTAGCAATGGTAGCGGCACTGCTTGAATTAGCAGTAATGGAAGAAGTAGTGGTGATGGGGGTGGTTCTGGTGGTAGCACGAGGTAGGTAATAACAGTAGAAGTAGTCGTCGTCGTAGTAGTAGTAATAGCAGCAGTAGGAGTAGGAGCGGGAGTAGGAGCAGAGCAGGAGTAGGAGGCGTAGGAGTAGTCGTGATAGGGCAGCAGGAGCTATGGCAACAATGATGAAACAGTTGATAAGATACTAACAAGCGTAACAGTGGCAGCAGTAACACGAGTAGAGAAGGCGAGGTAGTAGTTGTTGCCTTACCAGAAAATCTGTTCCGTCGCTACAGCAATCCTTGTGGTCGACGTGCTTTCCGCAACAACCGAGTCAGAGTATTAAGAACTAACAAAGTGTTTTGGATGTCGGTCTAGGGAATCGCAACGAATCACCAACTCACACGAAAAGAACTGCTCCCTACCAGCGGGTCCTCAAAAGTACACGGAAACGGCCAAGTATCGTTGCTCAAAGCTAACTGGTGACAAATGTTGCTCTCAGCACCCAGTGCTCAACAAGCAAGCGGAATCCTTGCAATAGTATGCAAATCACAATGGCTGCTAAGCTTTTCATGGTGTAGCAGGAACGATCAATAACAGTGAAATGGCAATGTTTTCGTGCCGGTGCGCGGGAGGGAGTCGCACTTGTCGGGGCGCGCCGACGCCAAGTCGCGCGCTACCCGGAGTTGACCCACGGAGGGCCTCAACGACTAGTAGTCCTCGCTGCAGAAGTCGGGGGCCGCTGGAGCGACGAGTGCCAGCAGTTCCTCCGTACCCTACTCCGGCTCCGTGTCCAACGCGCCCCACCACCCTTGCGCGCCGCTGCAGCCCAGGGCTGGGCGCGCCGCTGGTGGAGTGTGCTGTCGGTTGCCCTGCATGCAGCGAGCCGTCGCCAGCTCCGCGCTTGGAGTCTGGACCATGCCGCCGCTGCCTGGTGCGCCAGACGCGCTCCCGTTGGGTGACATGTTGGACCTCGCGATTGCGAGCGCCCCGAGCCGGCTGCCGCTTCGCTAGCACCCCGTAGGCGCCTTTAGTTCGCAGCTTGCACTGGGACCGCGGAAGATGCTCGAAAAGATTCGTGCAAAAAAAAATGGCAATGTTATGGTCAAAAGCAGTTGTTGGCAAACGAGGAACAAGAAGTATTTATCAGCTTTCAACCAAACTAGTGGATGTCCGTTGCGAGTCTGCTGCGAAATTTCCCACGACAGACATGCTCCGACCAGTACTACAAACTGTCTTGCCAGCCAGGGCTCTCGATTCAACAAGCCTGAGGCCGCAAATGCATGTGCGTATCTTTTGGTGCGTGCCAACCCTGTGGCTTCAGAATGGCCTGTGCTTCCTGGACATCTTATGGGCGGCGACCATGACGTGCGGCTGTGAGGCATAACACCTTCCACAATGGCCACGGCAACCATGTACCATTTCATCAACGCATGCGATCCAATGCAAGCACCGAGTCAGGCTAAAGTAGAGGGGTGTTGTATGTCCGGGCCCGGCCTGAAGATCATCCTGACGCACAACTGCACAATCAGGAACCAAAGCATACCACAGCCAGGATGCATTATCATGTGCGACTTACACATCAATGAAATTCAAAGTGTTGCAGCATGGACCTGCTTGAATGCCGCCTGTAGGATGAGCTCGTGCGAAACATTTTCTGACACAACATGCTGAAGGAGTTGTGACAACGCACGAGTTCTAAGCACAGTCCTCTCCACACGGCTGGTGCCGGAAGGCAACTCTGCAACGATCAAATACTCGCCGCCCCGCGTCACGGTGAATGCCACCATGGCATCCCTGCAGCAAATTTTGGGTGCACCGCAACCTATCGCTTGGTTTCTCGCGCGCAGCACGTGTCTCACTTGCACAAATCTGGTGAACTTACCCGATCGGCACACAAAAGGCACATCCCCAGCTCATTCCATGTATTGCAAGATCCATCCAGGAGAAAGCTTTGGCTAAACATTTCGGCACTTGCCTTCTGGAGGGTATCTTAGCGGGGGGGTCATGGAAGGGGTGGTGTGTCTTTGGGTCCAGAATTTCGGAGTTGATGCTCCAGCCCCCGCGAAGGGATGGTTTTGCCGCTCACCCTAAATAGCCCTCAATCCCGACAAGCTAAACCCAAAAGCCCTGAACCCAAAAACCTTGAAGTCAAACACCCCAAACCTAGAAACGTCCAGAAACCCCAATCCCCTAAACCATCCCTAAACACCTTTTTGCATTCAGGCCTCTTGCAGCCTTCTGAACCTAGAAACCCTTAATCCAGAAATCCTGCACCAGAAACCATAAACCCTGAAAATAGAAATCCCAAATCCAGAAACCCCATCTTCCACTTGCTGCAACCGGTTCCCAGATGCCCGGGTTCGCCCTCCCCCCCAAATCCTCTTCAACACATGCGTCAACAAATAGTTCCACGAAACATATTTTGCTACCTAACCCCTCAATGGAATGATGATGTAATAAACTCCCTATCTTGCATTCATGTGCCTCACGGGGATCCAGTTTGAGCGCGATACCAAATGATCACCTCGACAGCAATTCTGCGAAGCTCCGGATTGCCTCAACATGCCTCAACAACGCTCGCAAGCCAAGGAACTGTACGTGTTCTCGATATTCACCTTTTCGTAAACCTCAGAATTTGGTATGGCAAGTAGCCGGCCAGCAACATGCGATTGAATGAAAATCTTGACGGCTGTGCGTGCGGATTGCGCCACAATCGTGGCATGCACTGCGGCGGGATCTCTTTCGTGCTGCTAGCAAACTTCTCTGCAGCCAAAGCTCTTTGCAAAGGATGGGGACGGCCCTGCCACCACGCAGCTTCACTTTGTTAGAACACAATCGTTCATCGCACCTGCGATAGCCAAGGGGCTGTGGTCGACCAGGCGACTTCATCAGCATGCGCGGGTCGAACTGCTCGATTGAGCAAACAATCCTCCAGCAGGTGGAGCTTGGTCATGAGATGCCGCACGTGACCACTGCAGCTCCCCGGATACAATACATCCTCGCCGAGTTGTATCTTTTGACATTGAAATCATCTGATACAATCTTGCGACCAAGCTTCTCGCAAGGGACGGCATGCCTCGCAATTTGTCCGTCCGGCAACAAGGAAACGGCAAGCAACGAACGAGACAGATCAAAGGCGGATGGGGTCAACTCGCAATTCATTCTGTCCCCATCGCTCTGACATTGCACCGTCAGCTGTCCCAATCCCTGGTTTCACCAAGCCCTGCCTAATGCAAGAAGCTGAAGCCACCTACGCTTCCTGTGATAGGAACCCCGATTTAAAATATATCCTTTTACAGGCCACCGCTGGTCTGCGTACTTGAATTACTCAGAACCGGGTCAATTTATGCTCGCTTTTGCATTTGCCGTGCATGTTGCTTGGATTGCCTTTCCTTCCCACACACACCTTCCGTCTTGCAAGCGGCAAGCACAAATATAACGCAAAGCACGCGCTGGAGTCAACAACATCATCGAACTTTCTTTGGAAACAAAACACCTTCTACTGAGATTCCGGGCTGTAGACAAAGGTGTTGGTTGCAGCTTCGTGTGCTGAATCACGCGGGGACTCTGCAACATCCAGCCCTGGCTGGCGCCAAACTATGTTGAGGGGACCACGTTCGACAAACGCCCGACCCCAGAATAACCGAAGGGGATAAACGTTTTCACGCAACCGGCACGCTCGGTGGACTTTGATCCAACCCATTCATGGACATTAACGAGCGAAGCTCCATGAAGCTCCCTTATTTTGCAAGCTGCCGGGGATGGGCCGGACTTGTTTCGTGCTGACGAACAAGGTTTGACCAAACAGAATCCATGGATTTGGTTGTAAACAAGATGTCGGAATGATACGTGCAGAGTCGTCGAATTCCCACCCTATGATATGACCAGCAACATGGCATTTCGGTTGGCAGCCCACGTGCCGTAGAAAACACAATGCTTTTTACTGTAGGAACTTCGTGTAAACCGAATCTTCACAGTCAGCTCGGCCACGCACTCAAAACAAACATCAGCGGTATCACAGCGCAACCAAGCCAAACATTCGCCATGTAGACGGTCGATGTGAGAAGCACCCTTGCAACACACACACACAAGTCGGTGGAATCGCAACACAGCAGAACCAGCTACTCCTGATGGGAGCCCTCAGTTTCAGAAGCACAAGGTGTGAGGGATCAAAAATTTAAAAAAAAATTGACAAGATCGAAAAACCATGTAAATGAGCAGAAATATTCCTCAGTTTAGAAACAAAATAAAGAGGAGGCAGGGCTAACTAAAAGATCAATCAAACAGTTCTGGTGATAAAAAACCTATTCCGGTTTTTAAGCAAGACAGAGGGGAGGCGTGATCCGTTCCTTGCCATCCTCTTGCTTCCGGTATCCCACCAGTTGCAAGCATAGGGAAGAACATTTTGTCAGTCCAAAAGAACCCATAAGAACTCGGGTTATAAATCCTGCTGGGCATGCGTGAGAATCTTTGCCCCGTGCCTGAAACAGCGCCCGTACTTGGGGGAGAGCCTCTTGGCCCTGGTCCGGAAAGCTTTCCGGCAGCGACCGAGTGTGTGTGATTTTCTTTTTTGCTGACACACATTTCTTAAACACGCCCGATTCCGGTTCATCATATATCTTATTCAACGCGCTGGCAGTTCCGGGTCATCACATACCTTAAACATGTCCCATCACTTGTTTGGCGATTCCGATTCATCCTTTATGTTAAACCCGGCCCCTCATTCCCTGATGTGCCGAGTCCAGTTCATCATCATCATCATCATATGTAAATGAAAAGAAATTATATATATATATGTGGGGTGTATACATGTATACATATATATATATACATATTTCCGGAATCCCGCCGTGCAGTTTTTGTCAGTCCAACATCGGGGAGAAATCCTTCTGGCCGTACTATTTGTGTCCATTGATGGCGGGCCATTCTTTGGAACAGCTGGGCGTGGATTTAAATTTGAAAAGAAAGGAGGGGTTGGGGGGCGCACCCCCTCAATTAAGAAAGCCTGCTTGACGGAATGTCCATTGATGGCACGCCATTCTTTGAGGCAGGTTCGCATGGTTGTGCAAAGGGCTTTTATGCGTGCACCATGTGGGGGTTGTTCTTTATTATGGTTGCGGCCCGTAACTCGAAAATCGCCTTGGGCTTCGCCCTTGCGCGACCAGGGTTTTAAACACATTCCCACCTTGTAGCCTTGATAGACCAGCCGGAAAATAGCAAGTCCAGAATCCGGTTTGAAGTTTTCGTGCAGGGAACTTGGGTGGGGTTTCAATCAACTGTCACGCAACAGGAATGGGGCATTGGTCGAACTTGGAGTGTTCCCCTTGAGCCGCCCTTGCGCGCGGCTTGCGTGCTGAACCCTTTGTAAAACTGATTTTGGCTGTTTGCGGATCTGTGCTGAGTACAGGTAGTAGTACTAGTAGTGGTGGTGGTATAGTAGCAGTAGCAGTAGCGGTAGCGGTAGCGGTAGCAGTAGTAGTAGTAGTAGTAGTAGTAGTAGCAGCAGCAGCAGCAGCAGGAGGAGGAGGAGGAGTAGTAGTAGTAGTAGGTGGTAGTAGAAGTAGTAGTAGTAGTAGTAGTAGTAGTAGT